AACGAAACGAAAGAAGACTACGGGACCGCGAGAGGTAACATACCTGTGCGACCTTCTCGTTCTTGCAGTCGTCCGGCGTAAGCTTGGTGTGCAGGTGCAGGAAGTCGAGCAGGTAGGGGCCGAGCGCGCGCGAAGGGTTGAACAGACCGCAGCAAATCGAGATCAGCTCCAATCCCTTCACTTGGCTCGCCCTGTGGTGTGCGCGTCGTCGGTTGGCCGTCAGCGAACGTAGGAAAGAGTTGATTAAGAGGGGGGGGGGCGCGTACGGCTTGGGGTTCTTGTTGGTCTGCCGGAGCATCTGGCAGAAGATCTCCTCCCTAATGTTGGGCCTGTCGATGCCGGGCTGACAGATCTTGGTCATCAACTCTGTGGGATTGAATTACACGCACACGAAAAGACAATACAATGTGAGCCCTCAAGGTGTGTGTGTGTGTGCGTGTGCGTGCGTGTGTGCGTGGTACCGTAGGGGGTCTTCTTGGAAGGATAGTCGCCCATGTACTGCATGATGAACACGGAGATGTCAATCACGATCTTGACCGACGCCTCGTCGAGCCCCTTGTGGAGCGGGCACTTGAGCGGGCTGTCGGAGTAGGTGGTCAGGACGTCGGCGGCCGTCATGCCCGGCTTGGGGTTGATCTTCTCCTCCTTGATGAGCTCCTCGATGTTGAAGTGCTTGGTCGCGTACTCGGCGAGCGGGTAGCGCTTGACGTTGCTCGACGGCGCGTAGACGGTGCGGGTGTCGGAGTCGGCCAGGCCGCCGCTCGAGTTCAACTGCTGATAGTAGGCCCGGCTGTTCATGCGCGCCACTCCCTTCATCTCCGTGGGCTTGGCCACACCGCCTGCACACATCACACAGCACACATCACGATACGACACGACACGCAACATGACACGACCACGTCAGTATCGTTGATCGCCACCATCGCCGCGTGGCTTGTTGGCTCAGATAGGCCAGACGCACCGCTTTGTTCGCTTTCGTCGCTGCTGGCCAGTCCTCCGTTCTACATTGGGTGAGTCAACACGTGTGAAGTGTGTGTAGTGTGTGTAGTGTGTGTGTGTGTGTGGTGCAGCACCATGAGCCGCTGTTTCAGGGATGGCGCGCGCGGCGACTCGGCGTAGTCCTTGCCGGTGCTACCCGGTTTGAGGATGAGGACCTCCACGTTGTCCTTGGGGAACTGGCCGACCTTGTCTGTGCTCGCAGCACCGCGAGAAACACACAAGTATAGTGTGGTAGGGGTGTGTGTGTGTGTGTGTGCGTGTGCGTGTGTGCGTGTGTGTCTCAGTGGCACTGATCATGAGCCACATGATGTCTGCCGACGGCTTACCGTCGATTTTGCCCTTCCACCATCCGGAGGCATCCCTGGAAATGATGGTGACGATCTCGCCCTTGTGGAACGAAAGAAGGCTCCGGTCCCTCGGCAGATAGTCCACCACAGCCCGCGCCACCCTGTGAACAACAACCGCCGTTCGTCCAGAAAGAGCAGTGAGCCTAGCTTCGTCAACCCACCCATACCACCCAAGCAAGCTACGTACCAAGAATCCTCTCGCAGCCAGAACATGCAGTCTTCCATGATGCTGGCCATTTCGACTCCCTGAAAGCATGCAATAGCACACGGGAGCGCGCGGTGAACAAGGGTTCTATAACATTAACATTGGGCGTCCCAGGCCTTGGCGACGCGCGCGCGGGGGGGGGGATACCTCCAGGGTGAGGAATTTGATCGCCCCCATTTCGGCCTTGGTGGTGAGGGTGCAGGAATTGACGGTGAAGCTGATCTCGCACACGTCCCAGTAGGGAATGCGCCGCAGTTTTTGCCTACGAGGCGGTACGGGTGAGTGAGTGGTGAGCTCTGTCAATACCGCACGCACGTGTTTCGTGTGTGTGTGTGGTGTGTGTGGTGTGTGTGGTGTGTGTGGTGTGTGTGTGGCTAAATTACTGGGAGACGGGATCGTAGATTGACAGCCCGGGGATGCCGATGCCCACTATGCACTCGTCGGGTAAGTCCAGATCCGACGTCTCCAGCTTCACCGAGCGGAACACGCTCTGCACGCACGGCACAACACAAGTTTGTGTGAGTTGAGTGACTTGCGCGTGGGGAGCAAAGAGGAATCAGTCAAGAGAGCAGCAGATGCTCTTGGAGGAGGGGGGGGGGTATTGTCGAACCAGTCCGTAGAAGGGCAGCTCTTTCGCCAGTTTCAGATACTGGATGAGAATGTTGTTGTCATCGTCCTTGATTGTTTGAGACACGCAACGTCAGTAATTGATTGAGCAAACACCGAACACACAGAACACACAGAACACACGACATCTCTGCTCGTCGAATAACAGGTGGGTACCATCTTCATCCTCTTGATCTTTGCTACTTCGGTTTCTATGAGGATGCCCCACTCACCGGCAGACTTGGTGGCCATGTGTGCCGGAGGCACCAGCGAAGGCATACTACATCCGACCGGGCGCGGCGAGGAGAAAGAAGTTCAGCATCCACAACCCACACCAGCCCACACACCGGACAAACAGAGAATGATGGTCGCGCGGCCAGTGACGCGTCCAAAGGGGCAAGAGCCGTACATGCTGCTCGGGTTGGTTGCGAGGGTCTGGTGCGCGCCGTCAATGATCACCTTGGCCGCAGCAATCCCCGCGACGTCGCTCTCGCGGATCGGCAAGCGCTCACTGTCGACGCACATGACAACACCATGATTGGCTATGGTGCGCAACACGAGTATATATACGCTTATATATACATATATAATGTAGATAAAGTATGAGTATTACCTGAGGATGTAGGTGTGAAGCTGGAACACCTCGAGCCTGTTTTCAGAGGGATCTTCGGAGAGGAAGGCGGGGTCGAGCCACATCTTCTTCTTCAAGAACAGCTTCACCTCGAGGCCGTACTTTTCGGCCTTGGACAGGATGTCGGCAATGAAATCGTTGGGCGCAAGGCTCCGCTCTGGTTGTGTTGGATTCGTGTGCGTGGTGCGTGGTGCGTGGTGCGTGGTGCGTGGTGCGTGGTGCGTGGTGCGTGGTGCGTGGTGCGTGGTGCGTGGTGCGTGGTGCGTGGTGCGTGGTGCGTGGTGCTGGTGCTGGTGCGTGGTGCGTGGTGCGTGGTGCGTGGTGCGTGGTGCGTGGTGCGTGGTGCGTGGTGCGTGGTGCGTGGTGCGTGGTGCGTGGTGCGTGGTGCGTGGTGCGTGGTGCGTGGTGCGTGGTGCGTGGTGCGTGGTGCGTGGTGTTAGAAACACAACGAATCAATGGTGGCGGGAAGATCAAAGCAAAGTTGAGCCGTACCGAGGTTGCTCGCAGGGTAGACCTCGTAGATGGCAAACTCCGAAGGGTCGTTCAGCCGCACGGCCTTGGTGGTGAGCGGCGTAAAGACATCGGCGGCCGTGGACACGGGGTCGATCTGGACCGCCGCGTCGCTGCCGCTCGGCAGCGTGAACCAGACGCGCATCTGCCTTCGCTCCTTGTTGGCCTCGAACTCGAGCATGGACGGGGGGTACTGCCGGTTCTCCTTCTGCCTGACGCGGTAGGCCAGCAGCTTGAGCTTGTCGTAGGCGTAGCGCGCGAACGCGCCGACTTCCGTAGGAATCGCGGTGGCTTCGAGCAGGAAGGAGCCCAGATACGGGAGGAAGACGTCGGTCGGCGGGAAGACGCCACAGTACGCGGCCAGCACCTCCCACGCACGCAGCGTTCCCTCCCTGCAGGAATTAAAAAAAAAGAAAAAGAACGAAGTCGATTAGTCAGAAGAACGAAGACGAAGAAAGACACAAAACAGCAAAGAGGAGAGGAAGGAATAACATACTTGGAGGAGTTGAAGGTGGCCTGCTTCATGACCTGGGCGTAGATCTCGTTTCTGAAGGCGGCGGGATGCGCGATACCGGCCACGAAGATGTCCTTGAGGACGGGGTAGCTCTCCTCGCCGTCGATGAAGCGGGTGAGCTTGCGGAAGAGCGTCAGCGACAGATTGACGTAGTTCACGCTGCTGGTCTTGTGCAGCGGGAAGTCCAGTTTCTGGCACGATCCGAAATGAACACGGGTGAGAACAAGTCACGGGAATGATGATGACGATGACGATGATGACGCCCATAAGAAGGTTCACACCTTGGAGTAGGCGCAGATCTGTTGCGTTGAGAAGGACTTCTGCCGGCGCAGCGAGATGGCGCTCTTGCGCTTCATCATGTTGAAGTTGGCGCGGGCATACTCCTCGAACGAGTATTTGAGCATGTCGGCCGAGCTCATGATTTCGGGAATGTCCCTGCGCCATTCACACATCATCATGATCACCATCATCAACTCTCACTCGAGTGGCATGGGAAAAAAGGTGTCGTACTCGATGCCTTCCTTGCGGTGCATGGGCGTGTGCTGTTTGTTGAGCTGTAGCCTCTCGACGACGCGCCGACGCAGGGAGGCCACGCGCGGGGAGTCATACTGGGCAGCCGGTTTGACCGGCTGCAGGTACTTGTTGAGGCTCGCAGTGTAGAGCACCTTGTCGGCGTCCTGGCCCGTCTCGGTGATGGCCTCCATCGCGTCGGTCTCCAGCACAATATCGGGCAGCCTGTTCACCTCGAACAGAACCGAATCGGCCTCTGCGGGCACCGGCGCGGCCTCGCCGCTCCTGAGCGTCCCGTCGTTCTGCATTCGGCGCATGGTCCCGGAACCGCTGCTCTCCTGCCGCCGCTTCTCGTCGGCCTCCCGTGCGCGTCGTTGCTCCTCCTCGCGTCGCTTGGCCTCTTCCCTCCTCCTTCGCTCGTACTCGGCCTGGCGCATGTCGTAATAGATCCTACGCGCGATGATACCGCGAATGACTGTGCGGCCGGCCGCGTTTGTTAGCTGATCCACGTGTCGTGTGTGTCGTGTGTGTCACCGTGCGTGCGTGTGCCTAACAAGGCTGTGGGGTGTGCGTACAGGCTTGCACTTTGATGGCGGCGGCCTTGTAATTGCGGTAGTAGTTGCGCACCCACACCATGCGCCACCTGCATGAGAAGAAGAGCCGCTGGGTGAGAATCACCTTTTTTTTTTAAACACTAGCAGTCCAGGTCGACGAAGGAGCCGCACCAGCTCTGGATCAGGATGACCCGCCCCCGGAGGGCCTTGCCCTTTTCTTCTTCGAGGCGATTGTACTGTACGTCGAAAGAAAGACGAGTCATTGACAGCGCACGACTGACACCACAAGCAGGCCAATGTGCGATGAATGGAACCCACCTGCCCGTCCTTCAAGAAGACTTTGGTTCGGCCCACTTGCCAGGCATCGCCGGCCGGAGCTCCCATTCGATTCATGATGTTCGCGCACGTCGCCAGCGCATCTCCCTACAGAGAAGAGCAAGCCGCGCGAAAAAGAATGGAGCACACGAGGGGTAAGAACGCCGAAGCCTCTGGCGATGCTCTACGATATATATATATATGCGAGACCAGCGATAGATGGTCGAGTGGGTACCGCAGCGGGTCGTGTGCCGGTAAAGGGCATCAACACGTGATAGCGGGCGAGGAACTCCTTGGCGGGGAAGCGAATGGGGAAGCCCATCCTCCTGATTCGGATGGTCTCCATCATTCCGGCGTATCTGCATTGCGCCCCCCCGGGTAAGTAATTACGAAGCAAAGTGGAGGGAACGGTGTGGGAAAACAACGGACCTGAGCTGCGCCAGCACCATCTCATCGTCGAAGACGCCGGCCTGCTTCAGGGTGTTGGGCTTGATGCAGCGGACGTAGTGAGGCGACGTCGCGCCCAGCGTGGCCATCAACTCGTTCAATTGATTCTATACAATCGTGTTAGTAGGTGTGATGATGTTGACCGAGACTCGTGATGAAGGGAGCGTGCGAGGGGGGGAGGAACCTTGAATATGGTGCCCACGGTGGCGGCCTTCTTGCCCGACTTGGCAGAGTCGAGGTCATTGGCGACGGGCGTGAAGACGGTCTTGATCAAGTCCACCGAACTGTTGTGGAGCAGCCGCACCAGGTCCTCCGGCAGCGTGTCCTTGTTCTTGTCCAGGAAGCCCGCCACCTCGTAGGCCACCTCTCCGGCGTAGTGCTTGATGACGAAACTGGTGCGCGACTTCTTGGGCATTTCGAACTTGTTGTGCTTGCCGTGGTTGGTGGAGAGCTTGCCGAGGAAGGTCAGATCGGTGGCCTTCGGGAACCGGCACTCTTCGTCCAGCAACGCAATGATGCCAGGCGGCCTGTAACATTTACCTCGTCAGCACGGCGAAAAAGACGGGATTATGAACATTATTGGAAGGCCGTGAGCTTCACCTGACTTTCTCGATGAGGTCGATGCAGTCCTGGTTGTCGTTGTAGACCACAGCTGCTACGTTGATGCCCTCTGCTTGGTACTCCTATGGGCATGGACCATGTTTGCGTAGCGAGTGAGTGAGTGAGTCGCGCAACCGATCAGGGAGGTTATTGCTCTTACCTCCTGCTCCAGCTTGAAGATGGTGACGTTAAAGAAGTTCTGTAGCTTTTCGTTGGCGAAGTTGATGCACATTTGCTCGAAGCTGTTGACCTGCAGAATGCGTACCATAAGCCACGAGAAAAGAGTGTTAGGCAAGCCGCGTTGCTCATGCATGACTAAAATGGAAAGAGCCGAGCTAAGGTACCTTGAAGTTTTCGAAGCCAAAGATGTCGAGCACGCCAATGAACGATTTGGTCAGCTTGGGCTTGTGGATGACCCGGTTGATCGACTCCACGATCCAATCGAACATGTAGCTGTACACGGCCTATATGTCGAACACCAAATCAACACACCCATTGAGACGTCAGCTGAGGTGCGTCATTTGACCAGTAAGGGAGTGAGTGGGGGGGGAGCAGAGTGTGGAGACCTTGGCCAACGCGTCTCGGGTGTCCGTGGCTTGTTCGGGTTTGAGGTTGAGCATGATCTTCTGGCCTGAGACGGACATGGCCCGCGTGGTCAGTGCGCTATTGAGCGCGTCCGCCTTGACGCCCAGCAACTTGGCGACCACCTCCAATTCTGTGTGTCCAGTTCGCGCCCATCGTTTTAGTTAGTAGTGGCGTCGTTGCACCAACATCACAGGGCGAGGCGTGTGGGTGTCACGCGACGCGCATTGCATTACCCTTTGTGTTCACCACCTTGGACGCTTCGCCGCCCTCGAACGTGATGTTTCCCAGGCGCAAGATGCCTGAAAGCGTTCTGAACATCTGCTCTTCCGTAGCGGTGGGTATGTCCAGGGCAGACAAGGCCATCTGGGAGACGCAAGCGGAGAGGTCCGATGAGGAAAATGTGTGGATATGCGGAGGAGAGCGCGACGTGTGGGAGCACGTACGCGCAGGCGTTCAAAGTCCTGCTCGTCGTGGATGTTCGGGACCGTGTGGCATCCGCTCTGGTTGAGGTAGTGGTAGTCCTCAATAGAAGGCAGAATGGACCAGGTCTCTGTGGTGCCGCGTGTGGATATAATGTTTAGAGGGAGAGGCAATGGCTTGATATCACAGGGAACACCAATGAAAATGACACACACACACACAGAGAGAGAGAGAGAGAGAAAGATCGCACCTCGCTCGCTCGGAGAGCAGCCCTTGAGCAGCTGGTAGAAAACATGGTAGTTGCGCTCTCCCTCTGATTGTGACACCAGACGAGACTGAATGCCACCAAAGCGGTGTTAGTCTCCCACCAAACTGCCCATCGCATCGCAGGCTCATCATTCGAACTCCAACGTACCCTCTCCAACAAGTCTGTGCGGAAACGAAGCAAGAGAGCAGTGTAAGCAAGCATGTCAACCTGACGAGCCAGGAAAAGAGAGGAAGGTGGCATACAGTTGATGATTCTTGCTCCCACAATTTGTCCGCTGGCCCCGAAGTGGATCTCGATAAACTTGCCCTGTGGTGGTTGTGGTGGTGCATAACGCGTAGGCCGAGGAAGCCTTGCGTCAGATGCTGCATCGGTTGTTGGACAAGTAGAGTGGCACGACGTACAAAACGAGAGCTGTTGTCGTTTCGCACGGTCTTGGCATTACCAAAGGCCTCGAGCACGGGACTGAAGGGGGAAAGCACCAAAGAGCGTTAATCGCGCGCAACCGCGTAAAGCACACCACGCCCACGCCGCACCTGGACTCCAGGATCATCTGCTCGACCTCCGAGTGCCGGTTGGTTCGGGCAGCCAGGTACTGTAGGATGAGCTTGGTGGCTTCCGTCTTGCCGGCTCCACTCTCACCACTGCACGTGCACAGAGCAAGGCCGTTGGTAAGACACAGAGAGATCATCACCGGTCGTTTGCAGGGGGGTGAGGCACACCTGATAATGACCGACTGATTGGCCGAGTCCTCGCGCATGTCGTGGTAGCAGCTCTCGGCCGTGGCAAAGATGTGGGGCGGTGGGCGAATCGAGCCGGCGGCCCGGCCGATGTACTCACGCACCACTTCCTGGCTGTATATTGGGAGCTCCCGGTAGGGGTTGAGCGATACTAGGATGGAGCCTGTATTGGTCTGGAGAAGACCAAAAGAAGAAGATGAGCGATGAAAGATGATGGCGTGCTCAAGATCTTTGGTGCGGAAGGAGGCGATGATTACGTAGATGAGGTCCTTGGTATAGCGTAGCTTCAGGTTCTTCAGGATCGTCTCCTCGGACAGATTGCCCATCTTGATCATGTCATCGATTCCGCTGTTAGAGAGGTTGACATCGCTCACCGTATCGTCGCGTTCCAACATGATGGTCGTGAAAGAACGCCTCTCGCGAGGGGCAACTTAGCAAAAGAGTGGCAAGCGTTGGCAACGACAGAGAGATGAGCACGTCTCTTGATGCAAAAGAGAGGGAGGGGGGGGGGCTGGCGCCTTCTCCTCCTTTTTGATGGGCGCATGATGCATCCAAAAAGGAAAGTCGTACCTAAAAGCGGCATGACACGCCGATTTGAGCGACCGTACCACGTATGACCGTTGTGACCGTGCCTTCAAGGAGAGAATCGGGCGCATTGGGGGGGGGGGCGGAATGGCTGGGGATGGCGCGGAAAACAATGAATTGGTTGGTTTTCATTTCCATACCTCAGTACTACCCGCCAAACCAAGCATCCACTTCTATCCTGCGAAGCGTGAGAGAGGACCGGGAACCCTGGCGATGAAGGGGACTATGCGCGCACCTTTTCATCCGTCGTCGACGCGCTCATTTGCCGTCTGGCTGGGCGGTCGTGCTGGGCGGCGGGGTCTCCGCGGGTGGTACAGGCACGGTGGGGTGGATCGCTGCCGCGCCAGCGGCTGGGGCGCTCGAGCTCGCTGGTGGGAGGCCGGGTCGTGGGGCACCCGGCAAGGAAACGGCTGCAGGAGTAGAGGAAGGAGCTGGTTTTGGTGTAGCTGCTGGTGCGGGTTCCAATACTGGTGTGTGGGTTGGTGCCGGTGCCGGTGCCGACGTGGGTGCCGGTGTCGGTGTCGGTGTGGGTGCTGGTGTCGGTGTGGATGTCGATGTGGCTGCTGGTGATCGTGTCGATGTGGGTACTGGTGCCGGTGTCGGTGTCGGTGTGGGTGCTGGTGTAGCTGGAGCCGACGTGGGTGCTGGTGCCGGTGCTGGTATAGGTGTCGGTGCCGGTGTCGATGTGGGTGCTGGAGCCGACGTGGGTGCCGGTCCCGGTCCCGGTGTGGGTGCTGGTGCTGATGCTGGTGCTGGTGCTCGCTGGGCCGGAGGAATTGTCGTGGTCGACACCACTGATGGCGGACGACCCCGAGGCGCAGGGGTCGAGAGGTTCATCGGCGCAGTGCTGGTGGTTCGCGTGAGCGGTCCCTGTACCGGAGGCGGTGCCCCCGAGGGTGAGCCGACACCGGGCACGCCCGAGAGCACAGCGGCCCTGGTCCCAGGCGCGGGTCGGGCAACAGGCCGGCCCGCTTGCCGAGAGGGCCGACCTGGTGGGGCCGGCGACGGCGATGGCGACGGGATTTGGGTGAAGTGCGGCG